TGCCCGTCTATATTCTCTAGCGTGTCGGCGTCCATAATGTCGAACTTATGGCTAACCTAGACTCCCTCGGGTGTTAGGGGATGTTTTTGTATCACTCGGAAGGGATAGAAATGACGATAGGAGAAATGAAGCTACTCTGAAATTCTCAAACAAGTAGAATACCGGACGGATAGTGTGGTGAACCCATCTACGACGGTGTATAACTAGGTAGCGCTCAATGCCGGGTGCCTGATTTTAATGCCTGAATTAAGCCTTGTTTTAAACCGCTTTCTGGCCTCTCTATACAGTGTATTGTAACCAACTCGACATGGAATAACTAGGCGCCGTTAACCTATAAAAATGAAGCTTTTGGTCCCTATACAAATGGAGATATCTGCTTATTTTTGACGGTTTATAAGTGTCAAAGATGAAGCTTTTCATCTCTATACAAATGGGGATCCAAAGCTTCATTTTCATGGCTTATTAAGGGATCTGTATTAGTAATTCGCGTAACGCTATACACCGTCGTACCGTCACTTCCAAAGCCACCAACTATTCAGACTGAAAATAAATAATGATCTTTGTATATATGTAGCTGAAATTCATCATTATGCAGTGCTACAGACTAGGCAAATATGGGCCAAGTTTAACGTGTGAATATAAAAAAAATGGGTTTAATGAAGATGGCAACATTATGTTTGATTTACTGCACTCATGTTTGAAAGGTTACAGGTGATATTGACGAGGATTCTCAACCGAGATACCCAGCCTCTCCCACATAGCTTCTACATTCATATCCTCTCGGCCGCTGGTGAAGATGTTAGTGTCTGCTGGGGTAATGCAAGAACATTAAGAACTCACTCATCCTTGGGGTTGATCCAAGGCTCTGTCTGGCCATCTGCGGTATTGGGATTGCGGAAAATCACGTTGTGTTTCTAAAGAAAAACCGTTAGCCCAGTCAAATCTCGATAAGGTTCCATAAAGGCGTGGTTGGCTTACCATCCCAAGTGTCAAATGCATGGCCCCAGGTCCCTTGACAAACGTATCCTCAGCAGCCCGGCCTTCAATCAACGCCAGGATGTTTTTCGCAACAACCGCTGCCTGTGCCGAGCCTGGTCGAGCGGCCTTTTGGGCACCGGTATCTGCAATATCACCCACAGCAAACATGTTCGAATATTGCTCGTCCAAGAACTGCATGGTGGATCTAACGCGAACAAATCCATTATCCGGATTGACGACCGACTCGCCGCCCTGGCGGGAAGACTTCAAGTCCGCCACTAGCTGGTTATTTGGGGTTTGTCCAGTGGCTAAGATGACGAATTGAGTGGACTCGGTGGTACCGTTTGTGAGTTGAACATCAAAAGTGCTGCCATCGTTGGGGAATCCACTCGGTGGAACAGTGACTCGAGAACCAGTGATGAGTCGAATTCCCAGCTCATCGAATCGTCTCTTAATCAGGTCATGGAGTGCGGGGTGGAAGCTCGGCATCACCTGCGGCCTCGATTGGACCACGGTCACCTCTTTCTCTGGGTAATATTCTTTCAGGTCGGCTGCCATTTGAACACCGACGGCACCGCCACCGACAATCAAAATCGATTGGGATCGGTTAACTCCAGCTTGATGCTTTTGCAGATACTCGACTGACGATGCCTTGTCATCATCATCCATGGCTGCAGGCTTAGAGAGACGTGTGCCCGTCGCAAGAACGACGTAGTCAAATGGGACCTCCTTCGAGCCCTGCCATTCACGGTCCAGATCAACATGGGTGGGATGGACCGACAAAACGCGAGCTTGGACTACGCCATGGGAGGAAGGGTTGGGCGACGCATTGAAGATCTCGCTGTAAGGAATAAACGCTTTGTGCTCCTGTCCTGGAACAATTGCAAACCGAGGCTATGGGCCATGTTAGCTCTGGGAGATTGACTGGAATGAACCTCCACTGGCTTCGAAGTCAACTCACAAATGTGAAAAGATGGTGGAAGTGGCTATGAGGCTCAGTCAAGAGGACCTGCATGAATTATTAGCCTCATCTTCAAGGTAGTCCCTCAATGGTAGCGTACCCGGTGTGTTGCAGGCACGATGCGTGCGAGCTCCTGAGCTGTGGTCTGTAATGGACATTAGTAGTTTACACTCTCTCGGACAGAAGAGTGAACTCACACGTCCGACGAACGAGCCGCCAACCACGATAATATTCCTTAGTGAGGTTGACATTTTCAAAGATGAAGTTTTGAGGGGAAGTTCTAAGGTTAGCCAGAAGAACCCTTTATAAATAGTCCTGGCCCTTTTTGTGATCTGATCAGATAATCAGATTAACCCCGAGGCCAATTTCCCCATTCGGCTGATCCCGAACCACCGGAGTAGTTTATATCCGCCGAAAACCAAACGCCACCTCCAAGTCCCGGCATCCGATCTGAACTCGGGAGACTCGTTCAATTATGTAACTGGGATAATGCTCCAGGGCTCAAGTTGAAGCCGACCTCGGATGACTGTCAGGTTACTGGGGTAGAAATTTTGACTATAAAGAGAAGATACATCTACGTATGGATATAGCAGCATATGACTGTGGGGTGGACTACCGAGGAACCCCTGTTTTTGGTTATGAGCAGGCATAATTGGCATGGTATGCGTTTAGGTATTCATGTCCTGGGACGTTGTCTCGACTCGAAATTTGTAAAGAATACGGAGATCGTCCAGTGAAGCATCCCCATAAGGAAAATAAAGAAATAAACACCCACTTGAGCAAGAAGCAAGATGACGAAATCCATGGAACCAGTCTCAAGACTGCTCGCCATATAGATACCTCCGAGATCAAATGTTTACGCAGGGTGCCAGGTGATGGTTTTCGCAAGGGGTCCACCACGGTCATAAGTGGCCAGCACAATGTGGTTATCCAATGCCATTATTCCAGGCCAGAAGCTGGAGGCCGGGGAGAGGAGAGTTGGTGAGCTCCATTGAACACGCCCTTCAACTGGCTGGCTAGCAAATACGACTTTGATAGAGGCATTCTTTACCCATTCCACATGCTTGGAGTCTTCGTCCGTCATGAATATCACGGCTATAGATCCATCTGCAAAAGAGGCAATTTGGGGAGAGCCTGCATTATGACCTTGTCGTGGGCGGAAAACTTCATGGCGCCAACCCCAGGTGGCACCGTCATCATAGGATAGAAGCGCTTCGACACTGAACGGTCCGTACCGGGTGGTCTCGAATACCATAAGAAGAGCCTCGCGACCGTTATCAAAAGTTCGTGCAATGCCGCACATTCCATCGCGAAGGGGATCTTGGTCACCATGCAGACAGGTCGGTTGAGTCCAGGTACTTCCTTGATCCCGCGAGACAACTAGCATGGTACATTGGTTGTTATGCGCGAATTCCTGTGAGAAATAAAGCTGCACTTCACCCTGGCGTCCGACACGCATGAAGGGTTCCCAAATGCCCAAAGGAGCGCGCTTCTCAGCCGCCTGTGAAGCGAATTGCCAGGTCCGACCACCATCTGTAGACCGGCAGACAGTGATGCGGAAGTGTGTGGGGCCATCTGGGCCCTTGTCATGATTGCGGAAAGCCGCCAGTATTTTCCCCGGAGCTACCTCACACAAAAACATGTTATCCACGTCACCAGCGCCGCGTGTCACCTCAGAGAAGTCTTCGAACGTTAGGCCGTTATCGGTACTTCTTGCGACGCGAAGAGAGCGTTGTCCATCGGGGAATCGGGTAAAGGAAGATAGGATGGTGCCATCTGAGAGTCTGCAGAGACGGGGGTATGTGCCACTGTTGGGAGGTGAAGATAATCCGCGTTCATCGTTGTTCACGGCTGGTCTGCCTGAAAGCCGAACGGCAGGAGAGTTCTGTTGATGAGCATGGTCATTCAGACCCAAGGTCTTGAGTACCTTCTGGCCAAAATGTCCAGGCATTTTGATCTTTGAAAACCGGAGAGAGTATGACAGAAACTTGTCCTGCAAGGCTGCAACATTCTGTGACTCAAATGCGCGGAGACGCATCACCTGGGCATATGACGTCAATGTCTGATGTTGCTTACCTAATTGGTTTAGTTCTGCCTCAGGTGTCGAAAATGTATAGATATGGACGGCCTATCAAAACCCATGCAGGCGCTGACAAAGCGGACTCTATAATCGTTGTATTACGACCTTCCACCGATCGTATAAAGTTCAAATTCAAGATTTAAAATAAAGGGAAAAATATAAGTACGTATGTTAACTTGTGAACAAAATCCGATCGGTTGGGGTTGAGATATAACTGAAATAGTTGAATGTTGATGTTTTGATGTTGGATATATATGTATCTGGGTTTCATAGGGAAGTACCACTACTTTCTAGTCAACCTCTATAATTTTACGTTTTCTCGTTTCTCTTTGCGTGATATAGAGAGAATACTAGTAACTGATTCTAAATCATCGAATTTAATAAATATTAAATATTACCTTAGGGATCAGGGTAAGAAGAAAAGAGGTAATTTAATTAATCCCAAGGGGGTTCAACTTATCTTGGCATTCTCGGCATGGTTGTATTTATTATAGCCAGGTGGATTTAAGGAAGGGCTGTTGGATCTCTGGTGGAACGAGCATCAGCATGACTAGGAATATGTGCAAGATATTTGGACTTGTTCCTTATGAGTCTTCTTCAAGCACGTCTTTACTTTGCATAATCGAGGCCTTGAACTGAGTCTTGCCAAGATACACAACACTGGGTCAATAGAGGAGCTACCACTTGCGCGGGGGTGCTATCTTACTTTCGCCTATAAGGTAGACCGCAAAGTTGATACCCTCGCATTATTAATGTGGCCATATAACCTGAAGTGTGAAATATGGCGTATGAGATTTCCAGTCATCATGGAGAGAGGTAATTGCGTCCAGGGTCAAGGTGCTTGATAAGTCCAAGTATCTAATAAGCTATCCCAAAAAATCCAATTCTGCCGATCTTTCCATAACCAGTCGTCCGTCATCAATTTCGGATGTCCACAGTGATTGTGTCAACATGTTCTCAATCCCATCAAGTTTTACCCCCCTATTCCTCAAACGAGATTCTGACAATCTTTGCGGGCTCGATGAAGGAGCCCAAAACAGGCGCAATCTGACCACCATTGGTGCCGACATAGAGTATCTGTTGGTCTTTGCTCAATCGAGCCGAGCTTGCACCTGCCAGTTGGGTTGATACTTGGCCACCTGCAACGAGGGAGATCTGCCCCGAAGGTGTGAGACGCACAACAGAGTTCTGGGGAGCTGTGGGAATATACGCAGTGCCATCCCGGGCGATCTCGATGTTGTCTGGTAGGAATCCACTAGCAATGATTTCAAAATCACCGATTGGTTTAACGTCCTTGTCCACCTTGACCTTGCAATACACCATCTGTGTCGTGCCGGTATAGTACACATAGTCACCAAAGACTGTCAGGGCATTGACACCCAGAGGAAGAGCCTGGCCCTCCGCCGGCGCCATTGTAGTATCATTCAGTGCGACAGAATAATCTCCTGTTTTGGTATCGACCTTCCATATTACTCCCTTGGGGCTATCGGCAATAAGAACCAAATTTGACTCCCGCGAGAATGTGGCAATGCCATTTGGAGCCTCCGCATCGGGCATTGCGACGATCTCCGAGGCCTTCGGCGATTCCAGCGCGCGCTCGTTCTCCTCGGCCTCGGTATTGGTGAAGTCCAATTTATGGACCGAGAACGAGCCTGGGCCTGGCTGGAAGGTTTTGGAAGAGAAATTACCGACAACAACTGCGAAGATATCGTCGTCGATTTCACTGATTCCGAAGCAGCTTGTGACGTTGGGGAACGTGTAGGCGAGGGTAGCGTTTCCGCTCGTGGTGTTGAAAAGCCAAACCTCGGGGGTATCTAGGCGCGTGAAAAGAAGGTGTCCGTCTGATCGAACAACAATGTTGTCGATCCATGAGCCATTGTTAGGAAATTGAAAGATGTTCTCGAATTTCACATTAGGTTGCTCATTGCGGTAGGGAGGTTCCGATATCTCTTCTGTGGTGTGAAAGAAAGGCCAGGAACCTAGAGCCACTGGAAGAATAGCTAGGCCGCTGAGCAAGGTGGTATGGAAGTGCATGTTGTCGACAATGAACGGATGATGAAAAGAACAACCGTGAGGGATGTCCTAGTTAGCTATATGCTGCTACAGTACCAGCCTCAATCAGCCAAGAAAGTTGAAATACTCAACAAATGCACCTGTTATTATGTTTCGTCCAATAAGGTGGGATGACCATCCGCATTCCTCGGTAGGGATGTTTTGATGCTGCCGATGCTAACCCCTACATTCCCTACATGCATTGCTCGGATGTACCTGTACCTATCAACAATGAGGAAAACATAAACAAAACCAAGTGGGCAGGTGTATTCTCAATGTTCTCAGCTGGTCGTGATTGGACTGTAACCTTTTTGTGACCAACAGTGGTAAAAGTATGTAGATATCAATAACTATTCATAACTCTGAATACTCTCTAGTTTCACATTATTTTTACAAATGACTTTGGAATGGTTGACCCTTGGGAAGCTGAGCATGACCGTACATTTCCATTGCAGCCCCATCTTTCTGCATCTGCTGCGCCCATTCACCAAGGCCTTTCATGAAAACTTCCATGTTGGCATCAGTGCTCAGGTCAATGGGTTCTTCATCTTGTGCGATCTGCAACATTTGTGCCCCAGCCGCAGGGCTCGTCTTGAAAAAGTCCTGGGGATCAATCTTCTGCTGGATTGCACCCCGAATAGTTCCGGCGAGCAGGTCCTTTGGCAAGCGAGGTTCCTGGGTAATCGAGCGGCCAAGACCAACCCCATCAACTGTTTCCAGGGCCTGGACCATTCCAGACGCTGTGCAAAATCCTCCGGTTACATAGCTGCGGGTACGCTTGAGAGCAGGAGCGATGAGGTCGGCAAATTCGAGGAAGAATGATTCTCGTTTCTGCGAAGACTCCCGTTTGTGCTGGAAGGCAGTAGCTTCATAAGTTCCACCGGACAACTCAACAAAGTCAAAATTCGTGCGGTCGAGGATCGCACATAGTTCCTTTGCCTCCTCGGGGGTGAATCCATGAGATTGGAATTCCACCGAGTTAATCTTGATTCCAATGATGAAGCCGGGACCCGGGAGTGCTTGCCGAATAGCCTGAGCGATTTCCACAATAATCCGCGCACGGTTGGCCAAGCTCCCACCGTATTTATCCGTCCTCCTGTTCGTTGTATGCGACAAGAATTGGGCAAGGAGATACCCATGGGCGGAATGCAGCTGAATACCATCATACCCAGCCTTTTGCAGGTAGACGGCTACATGGACAAAACGACGGATAATATCCTGTATCTCCTCTTCGGTGGCCCCGTGGGGTTTTCCAAATGCACCAATTTTCTCCATGACGAGCTGGACATCGCTAGCAGAAACCGGGTTGGGTTGCAGCTTCTCAAGTGTCTGACGACCAGGATGGCTGACCTGACCAACGATCAAACTTCCGTGCTTCTTCGCGGCAGTGGCCAATTGCTTGAATGCCTCAAATCGTTCACCAGCAATTGGATTCTCAAGGTCAATGATCATGTTTCCCGGTGACTCAAGCTGGTCGTATGAAATCATAATGTTGCCGGTGAGGATAAGTCCAAAATGACCCTCCCCCCACCGACGATAAAGATTGATGAGATTTTGGGTGGGAATACCACGAGCTGAAAGATCAGTTGGAGACCAGGAAGCCATTCTTTCCGTCAGAGCGGCCTTCAAAAAGCGATTAGGGGCTTCGCGCTGACTGAATTCAAATCGCAATGGAGCCCCAAGGGGCGACACGTTGACATTTTCGCTGGGAAACCTTTGAGACATAGTGAAAGACAATATATACCACTGATACCTGCAATTTGGAAGATAATTTAGATAATTTATGATTAATTGAGGCACATAGCTTGTTTTATATTCTCAAAAGTACAACCTTGGTCACTAATCCAGGTCCACCCAGTTCCACTGTGGATCGGCAGTCTTTTCGGTCAGAAGTCTGTCGAGGGAATGAAGTCCGATCGTGATCCACCTCAATATGTAAGCATCTTGTCAACACTACTCTGTAACTAACTAGTTAGTTATACCTGAGGTTGGAAAATTGGAAGGTTGAAATATCCCCGGATACCGTCTAACTAGATGTTTGGTATTAGGCATTCCTAACTTGCCTATGTAGTGAACATGAATTCACGGGGGAGTTAACTGTCCCGAACCCTTTTTTTCCTTTTCCAATTGATCTTCAAGTTAGATTTGTAATCATTATATTCATCCATTCCCTCCAGGTTGGCGTTACCTCTCATTGGTTTACTAAATTTTCCACTCATCCAATACAGTATTCTGCATAAACTTGAGTACATGGAGCATTATTTTATGTTGAAAGACGACCGGGAGTGATTGGAGATATTCACACAGGAGTTACTACTGGTCGCATTGGACTAGGTACCTCGGCGCGGTTGATGTGGGGGAGGAGATATGAGTATTTCAAGCGCGATGAAAACTGTGAAAAGAATTGAGGTGTCAAATTCAGGATGCATTAATTGACGAGTGTCAGAAGGAAATTGGAAGTCATCGACATCTTGTATTCGGTGTGCTAACATGTGGTTATGCTCGATGTGACAGGCCAGCAATTGAACGCTATGGTATCAAAGGTATAAAAGAAAAGTATCGAGCAGCTTGAACCATACCAAGTGAGTACAAAAGACGAAAAGGAAAGAAAGAAATGTCACAACTATGGTGAATATCAAGACGTCGGCAAAATGCCGAGGCCATATAACCGAAGAAGCCGAACCCCACCTTTTTCAAGACAGTAGAGTCCCCAACCTTTTGGATATTCGAAGATTATTTTAATCAAAACAGCCGATTCTTCTGTTACCTATGGAGACGGAGAGACCAGATCGGCCACGCACACGGGCAAAGAAAGCATGCCTGTCATGTAACTCGCGTCGCGTGCGGTGCAACGTCTTAGAAATGCAGCCCTGCCAAAACTGCGTCTCATGGAGTCTCGCTTGCGAAGTAGGGGTTTCGCGTCGTGGAAAGTAAGGAAATCATGGGTAATTAATTGTTCGACTTTATACTCATTCTAGGTAGATATCCCCGGCGAAAGAAAAAGGGATCAGCTCGAACATCCGCAACACCAAATGACACGGCAAATGCGTCGGAGTCTCGAGTTATACGGGGACAATTTCCAATACCCGGACAGAGCTCTCAGTATCCACCCGCTCGTCCCGCAACAGCAGAGGATGCGATCCATAAAACCGTCTTTCTTGGCGAGTCAAGTCCTCTCACCTGCGTTGTGGATGAAGGGCGACGATCTCCAGACAAGGGGTATGCATGCAGTATCCAAAAAGGCCGACTTCACTACTCCATTTCTGAGATTAGTGGTACAACTGAAAGTATCCAGGATTCACTGGGACCCCGCCGCAAGCTGATACATGATCGCCTTACCCGGGAAGGGGCTATCGTATTCCCATCGCCACCTGTCTGCGACACGTTACTTCAAGCTTATTTTGACTGGCTCCACCCGTGTTTTCCAATCCTTGATCGGGCAGACCTACAAAGTGACTATCAAGATGACAGGCTGTCACCTTTACTCTTCCAGTCAATGCTCTTCATAGGTGTGAGCTTGTGCTCGGATACTGCTTTGAACACTACGGGCTTTAATAATCGTTACCAAGCCAAAGAAGTATTCTATCAACGAGCAAAGGATATATATGATTCAGGGTGGGAGACCGACACAGTTATAAAGTTGCAGTCGTTGTTTCTCCTGAGCTTTTGGCGTGGAAGTCCAACCGAGGAGCGCGATGTTCGATTCTGGCTTGGAGCTGCTATCAGCCTTGCCCAGAAAAAGGGCATGCATGTCATGTACAGGTGCCTCCTTTAATTGAGTCTGAATATATGCTGACTAGCATAGGTCGAAATTGTCCTTCCTGAATACCAAAGACCAAAAGCTTTGGAAACGAATCTGGTGGGCTTTATATGTACGCTTCTCGTTCCTCAGTCTGTGCCTATAAGACACTGGGATTAACGTTTATTAGGTTCGTGATCAACAAACATCGGCTGCTTTGGGACTGCCACCTCGAATACGTGACGAAGACTGTCAAATCGCAGATCTTGAAGCTGCAGACTTTGAGGAAAGCGAGCCCATGGGACCTCCTGAAATACTTCGCCCACCACCAAAAGTACACATTGCTTACGTGATCGGAATGGCCCAACTGGCGAGGTTATGTATGATATCCTAAAACATTGGCGTATTCGCATTTGCTAACAATTTCATCTCTAGTGCGGGAAATAGTTTGCAGCCAGTATCTACCTGGTCGATCCAAGTTGGACAATGATGCTCGACCAATACTTCATCAACGCTTAGTTGACTGGGAGTCGCTCCTCCCGAAGGAAATGCAGTTTCAAACCCCCATTAGGAGGCAGGCGATGTTCCTAGTCGGTATGCTTCATATGGCTTATAAGTATGTACTGCTGCGCTAGTAGTAATAACTAAGACCCATTCCGGCTAAGATCCCGACAGCAATTTGTACATTCTCCTATACAGGCCCCTTTTCTTGCAACCCCCAGACCAATCAGTGAATCCGGAAAGAAATGTCGCCCTGGATGCGGCAACACGAAGCACACGAATTTTAGAGGACATGCTCTCAGAAAACCTGGTCCAACATGGATCAGTTCACTTGCAAGTTCTTCTAGCTACCACGACCTAGACTAAAACTAACACCACAACAGAATCACCCACACTTTCTCAGCCTTATGTATACAGACCATTCATTTCGGACGGGTCACCGGCACAGCCCGGAAGTTAGCAGAACATAGGGCTAAGTTATGCCTCTTGGGCTTGAAGGAGTTACAGAAATCATGGGACTTAGAGAACTGGGTTCTGGATCTTTTCTTCAGGTGCTTGGATGATCGCACTGCTCGCGATCTCCGATTAGCCGATCCTGCTATGCCATCAACATCACAAACAGGCGATGATCGAAATATTGAGGAGTTGCTACCTGCGTCTCCTGCTAGTGGTCCATATAGACCTGGTTCTTCTAACGCAGCGGAGGATCTCTTGCAAACACCTAACATGATGTCCCACCAGAATCCTGGGGAAGAGGCAGCAATTAATATGGACTGGTATGAGCTGTTTAACGTGGATGGTGATGATGTGATGGGCCTTGCTGGCTCATTATCAAATCCAGACTATTTGAACCCACAGAACCTCGAGTTTCTGTATCGATTCCTATAATGCTGTAATTCCAATGCCAATACTAATTTCGAATATCTAATCACGTATATAACGCGGAGATTTATAGAATTGCCGCCGAAAATAGCTGAGATGATGACGCCGTATTTCATGGAAAATGGTGGCGTCTTCTTTCTCAAAGTTTCTGTGAACACTTGGCCTCTTGTAATGTTGATTGTAGATAGGATCAATTTGATAGACCTAACTCCGCGAGAATGGCTTCGTTGTGCTCTCCAACCTGTGGAACTGAGCCCATCTGAGCGCCATATCCGGCTTTTTCGGCCGACTTGCTTGATCCAGGGGGCAAAAGAGCGGGAATGGCCCCCACGGGGGTTTGAACTTTGGTCCATCGGTTTCGTGCTTGAAGCTGGACATGGTCCCAAACATTTTTCATGTCATTGACACCAGCGTTGGCGATTGCCGCTTCGTCCAACCGAGCTATTGTTTCCTCTGTCGTGAACTTCGAGAACGCATCGTGAATGATAGATTTGAGCTCATCCCGATTTTGAGTTCGTTGTGAGTTGCTGGAAAATCTAGGGTCGCTGGCTAGATCAGGCTGCGAGAGGACACCGCTGCAGAAACTGACCCATTCCCGCTCATTCTGAATGCCCAACATGACAGACTGGCCATCACCCGCTTCGAACGGTCCATAAGGGTAGATGGCTGCATGCGAGGCACCTGCTGGCACCGGACCTGGAGCATTGTCGAACGCATAGTACATTGGGAATCCCATCCATTCCACCATACTTTCTAGCATGGAGATGTCAATCTGACAACCTTGGCCATCTTTCCCACGCTGCAGTAGAGCCGACAGAATGTTGCTGTATGCGTACATTCCCGCAGCAATATCGGCGATAGAGATACCAACCTTTGCAGGCTCTTCTCCAGTTCCCGTGACGGACAGCATCCCAGCCTCGCTCTGAATAAGAAGGTCGTAGGCTTTCTTGTCGCGATATGGGCCATCTTGTCCATATCCAGAAATATCACACACAATCAAACCAGGATGTTTCTCTTTCAATGTTTGATGGGAAAGCCCCAGTCGCGCACTGGCACCAGGAGCCAGATTCTGAACGAGAACATCGGCCTTTTGGAGGAGCTTCATCAAGACGGCATGGTCATTTTCACGTTTGAGGTCTAGAGCCAAACTCTCCTTGGAGCGGTTTGTCCATACGAAATGTGATGCTAGCCCACCAACTCGCGTGTCATAGTGTCGTGCAAAATCCCCAACACCTGGTCGTTCGACCTTGATGACTCGAGCTCCAAGATCGGCAAGTTGTCGCGTGCAAAAGGGCGCGGCAATAGCTTGCTCCAGACTAACCACGGTAACTCCAGCCAGAGGCAACGGCCTATGTCCACCAGATGGCACACTGGAGTAAGGCCGAAACGCGAGAGGTGATCCTTTTGCAGGTTGAACTGCGCCCGACAGGGCATGTGGCCGGGAAGTGAGTGAGAGGAGTGACTTCATTGTTGGCTGAACATTGGAAGCTGGCGATGTTGCTGTGAAATTGGACTACAGAGACAGCTATTTACCTTGTAGATATGGAAAATTGATCCAAGGGTCTGAGATACCAAAGCCCAAATAGTCGACGCGGGGGAAAGACGTCGGTCGAAATGCCGATCTCCAATCTCCATATAGCACACATGCCAAGCCCGACGAGTCGGCTGTATGCTCAAGTGAGCACAATTGATGATATCGATGTGAGGAACTACCTCTCTGTTCGGATTTTTCAAGCCAAGAGCGCATCTGAATAAACGCAGTGGAACCGGTGTACAAAGTACGGAGTACATATACCGAAATCAAGCCTTTGGTGTCCAAGTGAGGCTTTGGGAGTAACAGGAACATATATTCTGTCAAAATCCCAAAATATGCAGATTTGAATGTTAGAAGGCAATAGCCACCACACGCAGATATGAAGTTTGCTCCATCTAGTTAAAGATCAGCCACGAACGTCCAGGCAAATCCATCTTTCATGAAGTTCCGATCCTGATGAACGCCAAGCACACGGGAAATCCACGTGCCCAATACGCGACGGAAATTTTGTGGGAGTTAAGTTGTGGGGGGTACCCCTGAAAGAACCTCGTATTCTCGCAATGTGCCTCCCTTTGCGTCTGCCTATGGAATAAATGCAACGCATTCCGATCAGACAATATGGTCGGTGTTCCACGCAGCAAGGGCTGCTTGGCGTGTATTCAGCGGCGGGTTAAAGTAGGAAATCTCCAGTCTTACACATTTCTTTCTTTTTTTTCTCTTGTTTAAAGTAACCCTCTAATCCAGAGTCTAGTGCGATGAAACTCAGCCATCATGTCAATACTGCGAGAGAAGAGGGAACGTATGTCCTGGCTACACAAAGAACCGGAAGTTCTACCATTTCTTTGCAAGCAGTCAGCACGAGCCCTCAAGAACCACATCCTCCCTGAGACAATCAGCAACATCAATTATGGCATTGGTCACCTCAAAAGAAGCGCAGCAATACGCCACAATCCCCCGTGCGTCTATGGATGAGGCTCTAATCCCAGGATTAGTGTCCAAGGCGCTAGACCGACAATGCAGGAAGGGCTTTTGTGATTTCGTGGACGCGGTATTTCCGAACATTTATTACAGCTACAGCACTCGCGTGGAACTTCCTTGGTTTGAGATTGCTCAGTACGACCGAGGTGCCGGGATTGCAATGGAGTGGGGGTTTCGCAGCCTTGGGACCTTGCAGCTAGGTAGAGTAAATGGCAATCAACGACAGATTCTTGCCAGTCTGGAAATGTACGGCCGTGGATTAAGCCATCTTATTAAAGCTGTCAGGAATCCTGCTACAGTTGGCACGGATGATACCCTTGGAGCCGCAATCCTGTTAGGCATTTATGAGTTGATGAATGCAACAGAGGAAAACTCGTGGCTGCTGCATTCACGTGGGATATCTCATCTTTTACGTCTAAGGGGCGCGAAGAGGCATGCGAGTGGGTATGGCCGCACTCTGCTCTTATCCTTTCGAGGACTTCTGGTTTACGAGGCCTTCACTCGGGGGGAGGCATGTTTCCTGGAAAGCGAGGAATGGAGAGGAACTCTTCCGGAGACCCTAGAAGACGAGGAACGGCGCGGCAGAAGCTGTGGCCTGGGCCAGCTGATGGATTATGCATTCAATGAGATAGCTCAGTGCCCGGGGCTTCTTGCCAAGACCAAGAGTCTAGTCGCCTTGCGAACTACCAATGCGGAGAGAGAGGAGTTAATGGCCGCAATCAATAGCAGCCGAGAGGTCCTGGGTGATGTGGAAATCCAAATACTGGCTGGGATCAAGGCTGACCACGAAGGGAATAAGAAAGAGTCTCAGGCTTTCTTTGGATTGATTCCCCGTTGTAACCAAAATGCATCGGTGAAATTCACACTCGAGGGTGTTCATTCAGCGATCGCACTTCTCCGACAGTTGTCAGTTGTGCTAGTGTCCGATCGGAGTCGACAAGAAGCAGTGACACCGTGGCTGAAACTCGGACCGTGTAGGCAGGACTGGAAGGTCATAAAAAAGCTGGGGAAATTGCTCGGGCCCAAGAAGATACTCGACTGCACCCAATAGGTTCACAGCAACAGAGCAATCTGAATATCTGGCATGACCGGATCGCCTTGGCAATGGGAATGCCAGAACAGGGTTAAATCCACACCCAGAATGGGCTATCTATGTAGCCTTGGTCCGACCTGAGCTTCTGCATTTGTAAGCCATACTCGGAGTTTGTTTCATCTATTGCTCAGATTTGCTCCGTGGAATCATGAAAGAACCGATGTGCCGAAGTGTTATTCAAGTGGCGTTCCGAGGTCTAAGGGCCGCATCTGTCGATCAAATGACTCGCAAACGGCTTGCAGGCGACTTACAAATGGTCAAATTCATGTCCAAATGTCAAAGAACTCAAAGCGACCGTACTGTCGGGGATGTGGTCATGTGCGGCAATCAACCCTAGTAATGGCGATGCGATCCAGATGGAAATGGAACGGAGACAACACTGTGTGGATTGACTGTCTCACATGAGGAGAGGAGAAAGAGAAGGAAAGAGGAGAGAGAGAGCTATCATACATGGAGGTCTATTACATGATGATGCCTCAGACATCCAATACCTAGTCACCTTTCAGATCGACAGGAAATGACATTATCACAGCCCACATGGGGGGGGTTCCACTTTTGCAAAGAAATCTGGAGTGAGAAGAAAAGAAAAGAATGTTCGAAGGAAATGCTTGTGTTTTTGAAATCCGGCGATCACCGGAATAAGACAGAGCTGTGATGATATCGTAGTTAAATAATGCATTGCGAGGATTCCGTACCCCGTATATGTTGTACTCATTGGATTTTGTGCATCGCAAGAGATTTATTTTATTCAACTGCCCCATTGAATTGGATTGGATTCTCCAATTAATATTCTCCAATTATATTAATTGCGTTGCCTGGTCTCCAGTCCTCTTGTGTCTCACTCTCCCCTGAGCACAATAGGCTGTACAACATACAGTACTCCGTACTCGTACTCCGAACTCCTTGTTCTGTATTATCTACTGCGTATTCAGCGTAAACTTAAAAAAAAAAAAAAGAAAGAAAACATCTTGATATTGTGTACGAAGTACGGAGTAAGACATTTTTGTTGGTTCTTCATTTAATGCCCTTCATGTTATACTGACCATGACGAAGTATACAGCTCCGGAATATTCTTTGCGGGTAGAATTTTAGCTAACATTACCACGTAGAAAGAAAACCAAGTCAAAACCGCATCGCACAGATCATGGTAAGGTGTGATCGATCGTTCCTGGAGGAAGAATGCTGGGGTGCTCCCGTCACATTTTCGAAACCGGCGATCATCCCCACCGGGGAGGCAAGTCGTCATACAATGGGCTACCGACATACGGAGTATGCACGATATACAACATACATGTACATATGTAATTGATGTACGACCCCGGCTTGGCACATCTTCCTGATGTATGATTTGTTCGAATACGCAAGGCAACACAGGTACCTGGGAGTCTTGACGGGTGCCTGGTCGGCCCAAGATTCCAGCCACCGGTGCTTGCGTGGCCCTGAAATGGTCATTAATTTGGATTGGCCACTATGAATGCTAAGCATTCTGTTGGACACGAATATAAGATTGGCTGGCCATTGGGAGTGCTCCGGATGGTCCATCCACGTCATGCGAGACTGGATTGTAGCGACAAAGCCGCCTACAGTTGCCGATCAGGATCGGCCCAATCATCACCTTAACTAATCCACAGGTCTCGCCACAGTTTGCGTGCTCTCTATTTTTGATGTTTCGAGAAAGGCCGTCTATTCTTAGCCCAAAGTCCGAAACAAAAAAAAAAAAAAAGGACAAGGATATATATAGGACCAAATTCGCCTCCCGGTTATTTACGAGATTGCTGGCCATACCATCAACTAAGCTCACCCACGCTACTTTGAAATACTTTGTACACATTTTCAGATCAATTTCAATAATTAGTATTCGTTCCATATACTCCCAATAATGCCTTCTTCATTGACCTCGACCGAGCACTCCGGCTCGGTCCAGTCGCACCATACCCCCAAGACCTCTCTTCAAAGCAAAGCCGACCCTAACATGGCCCTACGTGAACAAGAACCTAGTATGTATGCCCGTAAAAAATGATCCGTCTTAGTCTACAATATCCACTGACAACAAGTAGCCGCTGTGAACCTCGAACCTGGATCTCGGGATACATTCTCACTGCGAAGCATCCAGCACAAGGACCGGGAAGGAAAGCTCATCAGTAAGTCACCAGTCACAATCATCTTTGGTGGGAACTGCAGTCTAACCCAGCAATAGCCGATCCCGATCTCTCCAATCCAACACGCAGCCGACTCGAGCGCCCGCTTGATACTATCCGATCGTTCGATGCAGCCATCGACGCACATCGCAAACAGCAACGCATGTGATCGAGGGATCAACACCAAATGGTCACACCAGAACGAAACGAAGGAACGCTTTATAATGCTAATCTCAATTCGAGCGTGGCGTGTTGATGTATAATTATTATGTGTATAATAGGCTTATGGGAATATCAAAATCTGAGGTTCATGTGTTTTCCACCGTTTTATTTCGATCTAGGCAGTGTAGCGGTTTTTATATGAAGATGAGCGAAGGTGGTAGAAGTTCTGTCGCTGCCATAGATTGCACTAGCATTGAATTAAGATACATATTAATTCCGTTATTTAAACCATAGTAGGCCCGTTGGAATTGACCAGAGACATCTACGATAAATGCAGGTATCAGCTTTTTGGTCATTGGGCTCTGTATAAATGCAAAGCCATGAATACCACTTGGGCGAATCTTAAAAGGAAGCCATAGGTACGAAGTAGATTAAGCTACGACATGAGATCCCCACAAGATCCATAGTGGTGTACAAAGCACCATGCTGTTAAGAAAATTCCACCGGACTATAATCTTTCCATCAATTTCCACACATGGCCATCCGCAAAGTCCAGTTATACAAATATCAAGCAGAGTTTGGCATTGTAAACTTATATCGAACAGAGTCGATTATCGGAAGCCGGACTAGTAGAACCGGAGAAAGGCCGACATGATCTACATGTAGATCTTTTCTAGACGAAAGTCCCCGAACTAACTATATACAACATAGCGATTCCTTAAAGATACTTCTACAGAGGCATCATCAGTTTGTAAGTCAGTATTAAGCTGTTATTTTTCATATTACAATGGAGTACCCCGCACTATTCAAATCTTTGCCACCGTAACTTGTGCAAATGACAAGAAGAACAACGACATACATACCTAGGTAAATACTTATACAAAGGCATATACAAAGGCATTTTTAGTGGACCAACCATGTCGAGAAATCATCTCCAACGTGATCCAACGCGGGTAGTTTTCCTTGGTTATATATTCTTCCACTAAGCAATGCCGCGGACAGACTACAGCCTCAAATTGCCTAGTGCCGAATAAAATTAGATCTTTTCGACAGTGAAATGAAAGTTCGTGAAGAAAAAACCCAAGTGCCGGCGCTATCCTAAGAAGCCCCACCACCCACCGCGTCAGCTAGATATTTTCGAGTTTATTTTTTTCCGTTTCATTCGTTTGGGAATATATTCTTCTATCCTTACTATGTGACGTTTGATAACTTCTTATTCTGGTGTTGATCTACAGAACTATATATCTATATATTTGTATAGGTCGACATCGAACCTCAGACTACCTAACTAGGTAACTATGTAAAAAACAAATCTAGTTAAGTGCGTGGAGTCCCGTTCATACCTCCATCATTATTGGCTCGGACTACATGGACCGATTCGTTTTAGAGCCCTAATAATGCTTTATTTTTCAAAGAAAGAGAGACACTTTATCTCCGACCTAATGTCGCCAGTGGTCTAAACCTATTGAACAATGGCATCCAGGCACTTGACCATCGTTAGCTCGGCTATACGCGTCCTTTTTGTAATGTCAGGTAAATAGCATTGGACTATCTGACACTATTGTTGAACCCTCAGGCATGCATGCTTGATTGTTTGATACAGACTGAGCCTTCTTTTGTTTGCTATTTGTTGTTTATGTTCAGATGGTTTGCAGGGTATATAAACCCCTGCATAATTAGTTTTAGCAATTAAGAATCTTTCTTCTACTTTTTCCCCCTCAGTAGTAATCTTACATAGATTGCTCATCAGGTTATGAAGCCCTTTTTCTACCTCTGAATCATTATTTCATCAATATCCATCAAGGATAGTGCTATAATAGTACTAGGTCTTGCTTTAGAGCTTTGTTTTTAAAGGGTAGTAGAAGATACTATACCTTAATTTGTGGTTATTCTGTCAAAATAGCAACCTACCCACCTAATAACAACAACTAGTATGATAAAGAAGACGTCTTAGTTATTGACTAAGCTGTCGGTCTGCTAGATATTAGAACATTCAATCTTTATAAGATTACTCCTCCTCTTAAAGAAAGAGAGGATCTTAACAAATAGATCGATAAGGTTAAGAAGATCTTAGAGAGCTATAATTTATATAATTTAGTCAAACGATCGATTCCCTAGCCGAGTCGAAGAGACCCGAATAGCTAGAAGTAGAAGACTCTTTCTAAGCAAGTTCGTACTTAGATATCTAGTAGTTTAGATAGCGACTTAATAGAGGAAATTAATAGTCGGGGAAACCCGATTATATTTATAGATAAGTTTTTAGAGGAGATTCGGAAGTATCTAAAAGGTAAAGGTTATAGTACTTTAAAGGTAGCGATAATAGCCTTCCGGTCTATCTCACGAAAGAAGTTTTTATTAAGTAATAAGTTTATTATTATATTAAAAGTAATATATAAAATATTGATAGATTTGAAATCTAGAATTTCGCCCTACTTTGCTTTATAGATAATACTAATAGAGCTAATAGAGGTACTAGAGTTAAATAGCTTTATTATTATAAAGGATAATAAACTAAACGCTATTAAGAACCTAGTTACTACGATTACTATAATCGATTTCTATTAATATAGTACGGCAATTTAGGACTATATTAAGTCTACTTCTACCGATTCCTTTAGTATTATATTAGCGGTTAATAACGATTAATAACGATATTAA